TTTTTTGTCCCATCCGAAAAACTAGACAGCTGTCCTTGTCAGGCCCTAGATCCTACACCACTGACAAGGAGAAACCACGTTCGAAAATCCTGATGAACTTTCTCGGCCAAAGCATGGGTCAAACACCTGACCTCCAGGGTGGATGCAGGACGGAGGGCCTGACAAGGACAGCTGTCTAGTCCTTAGGATGAGACGAAAAACCGATGTCCCGTGTATATCCCCTGACCGTTGGAATTCGATATAAGAGTAGGCGGTAGTGCCCCTGCCCGGGCAAAATTTCCCTCATAGCACACTGTATGGCGCATGCCCGTCCTCATTAGCCCAGTATAGGAGCAGAACAGTAGGACGTTAAACCCCATTTCATTTCATTTCCTCCAGGGTGGCTCCCCAGCGTCTTACCCACTTAGTCACAGTGGCTCCCCAGTTTGTATGTACATGTATATGTGTACATATTGATAGACACCCATACAGTTACAACTATTTAGAACTCCACTAATGATTCCACTAGACATAAATCCCCTATGATTTATCCCTCCATTTACTACAATTGATCTTATGAATCTCTCTGCTTCGGTGTTAATTGCTTGACCAAGTCGTACTTTCCTAATCTGATGACTACAGGAGTTTTAGTGTGACCAGAAAATTTACATCAATATTTTACGAAGGCAAGGATGGCTTGATCAACATTCTCTTTATAAAACAAACATCATATCAATTAATTTTACATAGTATTTTTAATATCTGAGAGAGAGTGAGTGAGAGAGAGAGAGAGAGAGAGAGAGAGAGGGGGGTCATTTTGGGACTAACATATGGTTCAATTTTATTTCAATATCTTGCTTGTGTGTGAGGGTCTTTAGCAGTGGGAGGAAACCAGATTATGAATTACCCTGAGTATGTATCTGAATTGCCCATTTTCAGTAGCCCAGATGGTGCCGAAAAAGTAGGATGCTAAACCCCATTTCAGGTTAGTTTTAGTGGAAAGCATTAAATCTTCAATATTAAATTATTCTAACCAACCTACAAGTACCACACAACAGCTCTTCTTTATTTAATCTATGATCCAACTTTAATGTCTTCAACAAGCCCTGCTTACACCGTCTAACATAAACCTCCTAGTAGTCCTCTATTAAACCCTGTATACACTGTCTGACATAAAACACTCAGATTAAACCCTGCACACAATGTCTGATTGAATCTTTTACTAACACAATAAAATTATTGCCCTTTAAACCACCTGATCAGAATGATCTGCTTTACCACAGACTGACAACACCATGGAGAAAGTGGAATTCTAATCCATATAAATGATTTATTTATTGTACAGAAAGTCTAGACAATCCAGCCATTAGGCAATTAAGTGCTTAACCATAAAACTAAACCAATTCCTAACATAATAAATAAAGAAGGCCTTCATGTTAATTGGCTTTCCCTGTTTTTAATTAAGATCTGTTTTGACAGCTGAGTGGTAAAGAACCTTAAAGAGGAATATCACACTCAGATGAAGACTTTAATTTGGGAAATCTGCATGTTTATATATTAAATGATAGCAAGACAATCATTGTTGTAAACATCACACCTTTAGAACAATTACACAGGTCTGACAGGTAACACTGAAGTGTAATTAACACCTGACAAATCACCTTGATAAAAGTGTTTACCAACAATCATCAACCATATTGGTTTTGTTTTTAAATCAGGCATTACGACAATTTATACAAAGGCCTTAGCACTGAGAATTTAATATTTTCAAAATAGAGAAATGGGATTTAACATCCACTCGATACAAACTAGGTCATTTCGGGACTAACATATGGTTCGATTTTATTTCAATAATCCGCTTGTGCTTAGGGTCCTTAACAGTTGGGGAAAACCGGAGTAAACCCACAAGGTTTAGACGGCGCTCCGATCTCCACGCAACATACGCTCACACCAGGCATCGAAACCACAACCACATGCCAGAGGTGATCAACCAGCGAGAGCTCGAAGCCCGACACTCTAGACCACAAAGCCATCCCAAACCCTCCATTAAGAATGACATGTATATTTACACACATTTATACATAGATTAACAACTGGGACATGCTGATAAAAACTTGGTATGATATGAAAATGAAATTAAGAATATAATTAATCACATGGTGTATATTACGTATATAATGTCCTAAACTTAATGTGATTTACATGTACACTTCACGCACAATAATTTCATGTTGTTTATTACAAATTTAACATGAAATGAAATGCGGTTTAAAGGCTCAATACCACTCTTGTTGTAACTGAATAATATGTCCCAATCTTTATTCTGGTCAACAAATTGCACTATTTTACAATATTCCAATTAATTGATGATACAAATTTCATCTTTACACACCTAATTTAAAAAATTGGAAAAATTCAACTAATTTGAAAAGCCTTACGTAAAGCTTTTCAATTGTGACTTGGATTTAAAAATATTTTTGAACTCTCTGGACAAGTAAAATAAGATTTAATGGATAATTTACACAACAGGTAGGACACTAACACATCTAATACTTAGAATAAGGCTATTTCTTATTTTCTGGAGCTGTCAAGCCAGCAAGAGTGTTATTGTCCCTTTAACGTCCTACTGTTCTGCTCCGAACTGGGCTAATGAAGACAGGCATTCACCATACAGTGCGCTATGAGGGAAATTTTGCCTGGACAGCGGCACTATGGCCTACTCTTATATCAAATTCCAACTGTCAAGGGATCTTTTACGTGCACGCCAACGTGTACACGGGACCTCGGTTTTTCGTCTCATCCGAATGACTAGACAGCTGTCCTTGTCAGGCCCTCTGTCCCGCATCACTGACAAGGGGGAACCACACCGGAAAATCTGGATGAACTTTCTCGGCCAATGCAGGGATCGAACTCCCGACCTCCAGGCTAGCAAGCAAGCGTCTTACCCACTTAGCCACCGTAACCCCACAAATTTAACATCCAATACATAACACATGATTTACATGATAATGACATGTATGATGGAAGGTTAAGATTATTTACATGTGAAGGAGTAATAATGAAAAGAGGGTGAAAACTTAAAAAAAAATAAGTTCTTGAATATTTTTTTTCAAAAAAGCTACTTTTAATAACACAGTGTTGAAATTCACTGTCATGTCATTAGAAGAGAGGGCAGGTGATAATAAAGTAATAATTTCATATTGTGCTAATCCTAATGTGATCTATGTCTAGTTTGTGTATTAGAATGTGTATAACACTGATAAAACAGTAATTAACAGGATTAATTAAGCAATTAACCAAAACAGTGGAGAGAGAGAGAGTTTAGCCTCCACTTGACAAAAACTAGGTAGTTTCAGGACTAACATATAGATCAATTTTATTTCAATAATTTGCTTGGGCGTAGGGAGCCTACTGAATGCAGTGCCTTACATGTACATATGTGTATGCTATTCCACTGCCTGCTACAGCCTTGATAACTTAAAAAGAAACCTCAATTGCTCAACCTGTTCAATCTTTGAAATCACAATTATCTTGATATTTTTAGAAACCAGTATTGCCTACTGAATACAGCACCTTACACATGCACATATGTGTCTACTATTCCACTGCCTGCAACAGCCTTGACAATTTAAAAAGAAACCTCAACTGCTGAACTGTTCCAATCTTGGATATCACAATTAAAACCGGACATTTTTAAAAACACTCCAAATCCTACAATCGAGTTCTCTGATAATCAAACGTGTAATGTTGTTTCAAAATTTCAGAAAAATTCATTGAGTTGAAACTATCTTGTTTTTTAATATTCCTTCCTAGTTATTAAAAATGATGTCATTTTTCATACAAGCACATATTTTCAGAAACAATCATGTTGTCGAGAATAAAGTTGACCATGAAGGAATAAAACAAGCCTAAGATAAATCGTTTCAATGTCATTTAGTAATTGAAATGGAATACACAGGTCACAATTCTACAGAATTCAATTACATGTACTGCTTATTACTGAGGGACATTTCAACTAGGCTTCTCTATTCATCATCAAAGCATTAATAAGCACATCTTGAGAAGCCTAGTCGAAACGTCATTCAGTAGTAAGCAGTAATCGAATTTCATAGAATTGTAATACAAGGCTAAGGTAATTTATGAACATGTATCTTACCAAAACGGTCCAGTTTGTTTATTAGGAGATGCATTAAATTAAATGTTTTTTTAGAAGATATATTTAATTGAATGAAAGAATATGTAAGAAGTCTTCATGGGAGTGTTTTCTTAAACATACATTATGCAAGAGCTAAATCTGTTTATTGCAGGTATTTCTTTAGGCCTGAAATGTTATCTAAATTATTAGACATTAAATAACATTTCCAGACCATAATCAACTCTCAATGTCAATGCTAGCTCTAGCCTGCAATGTTTACTAGATAAGGACCCCATTTGCTGCTACACTTTCATTTTTGATTTAATCATGAAATGGATAATCTCGAGACTGTTTTTATCGTACCGACTTTAGTAGTGATGATCAAGGCTAGGCCGAAAATTTAATCACTAAAATCTTGGTTCAGAGTGGATCAATTTGACTGAAATTTTCAGCAAATTGCCTTTACATTATCAAGTTTTTAACTATTATCATAGTGAGAACTGCCAGCTCTTTATCTAATCTCCCATAATGTATCTTTAATAATTCATGAGTCATTACTGTCAGAGGAGAGGTATAACCTTACTTTTAGTTTTTAATACTGAAACTGAAAAATTTTAAAAGTCTCTAATTTTCCTGCTTATTTATCACTTGACAGGTAGCCCATGTCGTAGTGTCAGTGATTGAAATTCGAAATTCAGAACTGAACAGAACAGATTGGCTGTAGACAAATGGAATTAACCTCCTTTTATCGGCCAATGTCCCTTTAATCAAGTCTGTGCTTCAGTGTAAACTGTTGTCATACTATTCCTTTGAAATAAATCAATCGATTTGACCAAACATAAGAAACAGTTAGACAGGAGTTATTGAGTGCATTTAGTCTACTCACCATGACTGACTTTCACAAGCGGCGAAATCGCAGCAACACAAACTGCGAGCACAAAATATGGATGCATTTTATTCTATCGTCCAAACAATCCGGCCGAATTTCAACATACAACTAACATAAATTCTTCTTTCTCATCTGCACACAATAAAAAGTAAATACCGCTGTTAATCAGCTAGAGTTTACATAGTTAATTGTCTGATTTATTCACATCGTCTTTTCTCAGCCGATCATGGCTACTCCAAATCTCGAACAGGTGCACGAGATAACGCGAGATTCAAAATGTCAGCCTCCATGATGAACTAAATTTGTAAACAATCACCGGTTTTTCTTTTTGTTCTTTGTTGCAAAAATGAGTAACAGCAAGCCTAGCAGAGAAAACCTGTTGGACAAGGTTTTAAGAGAGTATTCGTCACTTTTACAAAGACGACCAGTGTTGACAAAGTCCATATCAAGGTATAAGTATAGTCCTAAGAATGGCTCATCAAACTCAAACTGGCCACGTCGAACATAATGATAATTTCATAAAATTAAAAACAGGACGACAAATTAAAGGAAAATTAAAACACACCACTAGAAAGGTTTCATTGCCAGTTTTATGCGAACAACGTTACCTGAATTAAATATACATAGGCTACTTCACGTGAACAGGCTGCAAAGTAAACAAAGCTCCATCCATGCTGCTGCAATGCATCCCACCCCGCCCCTTCTACCATACATGTACCATGGTATATTTTTTTGGTGGAGAAATCACCATAACCCATGGTCCATATATACTCATATTCAAATGTGGCTGTATTATTGATGGGGTTCCTGTCTGTTGTCCGCAGTTTTTGGTGAACAATCTAGTAATCTTTTTAATACCAGTAATTTAAATGTTCCTAAAGTAGCTAAGTCTCTAACTCAATATCATCCAAAATCTTCGACATTGAAAACACAAATTATTTGTCAATTTAAATCAACATTGATATTGTGATCTTACCGGGAAAAGATGGGCTTCTGATATCCAATATTTAAGACAAAATAAACATTTTACCATTGGTACACGAATCGTGTACCATAATGCGTTTCAAGGGACTCGAAGAACGAGGCTAGACATTCAACAAGTCATTTCAAACGGTGACAGCAACTTCATATCGAGAGAGTGTGCGCAATAAATACTATGTAGCCTAGAATAACCCGACGCTACAAATTTTCATTCAATTGAGACTTCTGACATATTTCGCCGAACGTAACTGATTTGAAATTAGAGTAAAAATGGAAACGATTAAATGTAAATCAGTTTATATATATTCCTATTACATTATTATATGCGTCACGACCCATTTGTGTCAATTTCTAGGTCCAAAATATTAGCGATTTAGCTCCTTAAAATCACTTTCTACAGTCTTGTATACAGGGTAGCACAATTTACCCAAATCCACCATTGTTTCAATTCATATCCCAATAATTTCTATTAATTTTTGATAATTTACTGATTTTTTGCCAACGTGTCATTATTGATTTAAAATTGTAACCTTTTAGCTGAGACAACTTCAAGCTTGATGGACCTTTTCAGGAACAAAAATTTTGAATATTTGATGTAGTCTTAAACATACATTATGCAAGAGCATAATCTGATTATTGCAAGTCTTAATTTAGGCTTCAGATGTTATAGAAATTATAAATTAGATATTATTTAAACAACAAGCCCAAAATCAACTCTGTAGACCCACGGATGGCTCGGCTACAGCTCGGATTTAAATAGGATTTCACTTATTGATAAATTCAAATATGGCGCACCCTGATGAGAATACGTCAGTTAGATCGAGGCTAAATGATAAAGTGTACTTAGCGAGGCCGCTGTAGAGCGTTTCCGCATGCCATTGAAAACTTTACTTGATAATCGAGATATGTAGGTGGAGTTAACGCCTGTCAATCAAACGACCGGCCAAGGTGAAGGCACATTTCACTACCATTTCTAGTCAAATATTACAACGATGATAACTATGTTCAGAATAAAGTAATTTGACTGAAATTTTCAATATATTCTTCTTACATCAACTACTTTTGAACTGTTATAGCAAGAATGGCCAATTCTCTATAAAAATCTCCCATAATGTATCTTTAAGTTGTTACAAAGAATCATTTAATCAAAGCCTGCAGGTATTTTTACTGTTGTTCTTTTGATTTGGTTTTCTTAACTAAAATTGAAATAATCAATTTGAGTGTGGCCGGATCAAGCCGTGAAAAATCATTGATTTTAATCAGCTTGACAACACTGACATCATTGTCCGCAATAACCCAGAAACCTGGCCCCAGTTTCACAAAACATTCTCAGACTTTAAGTTAAGAATTTACTAAAAAATTTTCGCTTTATTTTAACTAAAATATAACCCTTTATAAAACGTTTATTGTTTTAATGTATCAAATACATCAATAAGAAACTAGTTTTGTGTATCTGGATCAAAGATATTTCTCATAAACAGTGATTGAAAGTCGAGTAAATTCTAACTCTGAGAATGCTTTGTGATATTATGAGGTAAACAGAAGATAAAAATAGATTAGTTTTATTATTGTATTTCAGTGCCAGTATATCTGCTATCGGAAATCTATTTTCACAGTATTTAGCACCACAGCCTGGTAGTCAGGGTCGTATTGTATGGAGAAGCACCTTCGCCTATGCTTTTTTTGGGTGAGTAAATCGGATTTTGTCTTCATTAAAGATACATTATGTAAGAGCTAAATCTGCCTATTGCAGATCTTTCTTTAGGCCTTAAATGTTATATAAATTATTAAATAGACATTAATTAACAGACAAGACCATAATCAACTCTCTAGACCATGAGATGGTTGTGATTTTGAACGGATTGAAAAAGAATTGCCATTTTATGATTTAATTTAAAAATGGTAAATCGAGACTTTGATCATAACAACGGTAGCAATGAAAATCAAGACTATGCTAATCTCTAAACAATCATAATTTCTCTCAGAATAAAATAATTCAACTGAAACTTTCAATATATTCTTTTTTCATTATCTGTTCTTAAACTACCTGCTCTTTATCTAAATCTTGCATAAAGCATCTTTTATATATTCTGCAGTGAACGAGACTCGATTCAGGGATGGGGAATGAAATAGGGTTTGACGTCTTACTTTTCTGCACCATCGAACTAATGAATACAGGCACTTTTCTTTGCCAGACCCTTCTTGCTGGCTCCCGAACCAGGTCACAGGAAAGTCCCTTAGTCTTTGGTACACAATTTGAAAGAGCCTTGAAAAATCAATGAGCAAAAATCAATTAATCCGATATCCTTATTTTGAAGACAGGAGGGATTCTTTATTCTTGAGTCCCCCCCCCATTGCACTATTTCCAGATATTGAGTGCAACTTGTAATATAATATAAAGATTATAAAGATGTCTTATGCAAGAGCTAAATATGCCTATTACAGGTCTTTATTTTGGGTTCAAATGATACATAAATTATTATTTATGCATTTATTAACATGACAAGCCTATAATCAACTCTCTGATTTTAAACATACATTATGCAAGAGCTAAATATGCCTATTACAGGCTTTCTTTTAGGTTCTGGGCCATCGTTTGGCTCTTATTTTAAGTAGATTAGAACATTGCATTCATATAGTATTGATTGTCAAGTTCTGTTGCTATGATAATAAACAATCTACGCTATATTTTGTCAAAACTTCAAACACTGATAACTTTGTACAGAATAAAGTAATTTGACTGAAATTTTCAATATATTCATTTTTCATTATCTATTTTTGAAGTTGAACTATTATAGCAAGAATGACCAGCTTTTTATCTAATCTTACAAAAATCTTTAAAATTAAAGTAGCATTTCATTTATATATATCTTAATTTAGAAAATATCTTTTTCCCTTGAGAGTTGGAATTCGATATAAGAGTAGGCCATAGTGCCGCTGCCCGGACCAAATTTTCTTCTTAGCACACTGTATGGCGTAAGCCCATCTTCATTATCCCAGTCAGAGCAGTAGGACATTAAACCCCATTTCATTTCATTTAGAAAATATCTCATAATATCTTAATTTGACATGTTTTTTTTTTCACAGTTTAGTTGTTAATGGTCCTGTTATTCACCATTTTTACACATACCTGGATAAAGTTTTACCAAAAAAAAAAGACAATACATCAGCTATAAAAAGAGTTTTGTTTGACCGTTTTGTGTTCGCTCCTCCATATTTACTGGTTTATTTATATGTTATATCCCTGTTAGAGGTTTGTACATTTTACTTTACAATAGTTTTTGGACCAGCACTAGTCATCTTAATGTTAGAAAGAGAGAAAGAGAGAAAGAGAGAGACAGATAGAGGGAAGAGAGAGAGACAGAGATTTAATGTCCACTTGACTAAAACTAGGTCATTTCGGGACTAACATATGGTTCAATTTTTTATTTCAATAATTTATTTGTTTGTGTAGGGGTCTTTAGCAGTGAGAGGAAACCGGAAGACCTGAAGAAAACCCATGTTAGTCCCAAATGACCTAGTTTGTGTAAAGTGAAACTTAAACTCCATTTCTCTCTCTCTCTCTCTCTCCCTCCCTTCCGGATCGCTGAAAGAATTGACTTTAAAATTCTATCTATTGTGTATCGTTGTTTAAATGGAACTGGTCCCGCATACTTGAATGATATTTTCAGACTTCACCAACCACCAAGAAATCTTAGATCTCAGTATCAACTTAACTTAGTTGTGCCTACATGGAAATTGAAATCATTTGGATTCAAGTCCTTGGAAGTTGCAGCTGCAATTAAGTGGAATTCACTACCCATTTCTCTCAAATCTGCCCCGTCACTAACAACATTTAATTCACGTTTAAAGACATACCTGTTTAAAACTTCATACAGTTGAATTTAGTTTTGTTAGCGCTTTGAGCAGCCACTTTGTTCTGGAGTTTAGCGCAATATAAGAATCCTTATTATTATTATTATTATTATTATGTGTTCAGGTACAATAATAACCCAATTAGCAGAAATATTTCAAAATAGAAAACAAAGAGTAGAATGAGGGTGGGTGGTGCTATATTTGATATGTCAGTAATATTGTTTGTTATCAACAGTAAAACAGATTTATTACGAAATATGACCTACTCACAGGTACGGCCTAACAGGTGACATGTCACATGGTGTGACAACCTTCAGGCTGTTTTTATAAATAGTACGAGTACCGATAGGTTTAATTTTAAACAATAATATGCCAAGTTTAGATAGGTTGCAAGAACTAGTGATCATTGCTGTGCCCGAGGCAGATTATGCATAATATTTTTAGAACACCTGTTAGCACTTCTCGTTTATTACGAAGTTCATTAGTTTACTCATAAACAATTCTGGTCTTTATACAAATCCTGACAATAAGGAACCTTTCACAGACTTGCTCAGGTACAAATTCAGGCTTTGTCAGGTACCATTCCTCTAGTGCCTGTCATTATGTCTTATATGTACAGATTTTGATTTGATATTGATAAAACATGTCCGGCACAAAGTTAATAATGTCAGGTACCAGTTATTGATATTTGTCATAATATTTCTACGGGGGTTGGGTGGATGAATGGTTTAAATGCGTGCCGGATGTTTTGATACCCGCCTGTCCAGCCTCAAGGGTTTTCTCTGGGCCCTCTGGTTTCCTCCAACAGCTAAAGACCCCTACGCGCAAGCGAATTATTGAATTAAAATTGAACCATATGTTAGTCCTAGGATGACCTAGTTTGTGTCCTATGCACCAAGCCACCATATGCAAATATTTTGGGAGGGGACAGTTAGGTGGTGTAATCCATATATACGTAACAAGGAGTAGGGGTGACTACCCAACATTGTGGATTCTCCAGGTCCTCCAGTTTACTACCACAACTAAAAACCGATTTAATGTAAAAAAAAAAATTTAGTCCCAAAATGACCTAGTTTGTTTTGAGTGGACATTAAACCCCATCTGTCTGTCTTCTCTCAAATATGTTTCCCTCATAGCACAAGTCAGAGCAGAACAGTAGGACGTTAAACCCGATTTCATTTCATTTCATTGTCATATTTAACAGGGTCACGGAACAGCAGGAGCCAAACAGAAAGTAAAAGATGTTTACTGGATGCTTCTAAAACTAAACTGGAAGGTCTGGACTTTTGTTCAGTATTTTAACCTAACTTACATTCCTGCTAAGGTAAGGTATTCAAACGTCTAAGTCCTCAGCAGTTTTATATTTAGTTCTTTGGGGTCACTTTATGCGTCATTTGAATTTTCACTAAAATATCAAATAGGCTTCTCAGATTGATTATTTAACATTTAATTAAACATACATTATGCAAGAGCTAAATCTGCCTATTGCAGGACTTTCTTTAGACCTGAAATGTTATCTAAATTATTAATTAACTTATCCAGACCATAATCAATGCTTGATGCCATCACTAGCCTGTGATATTTAGTAGATTGGAATACATTTTTTGTAAAATAATTAAACATAAAAATGGATAATCACAACATTGTTTTTTTATCGTACCGACTTTCGTAATAGTGATCAAGGCTAGGCCTAAAATTCAATCGCTAAATTCTCGGTTCAGTGATTTGACTGAAACTTTCAACATATTGTATTTACGTTATCTATTCTTTAACTATTATAGTGAGAACTGTCAACTCATTATCTAAAGCTTCCATAATGCCCCATTCAGAAAACAAAATCAAAATACTATTGTAGATAATCTCCTGGCTTGAGGGTTGATTTTAGGCTTGTCATGTGAATAAATGGCTAAATAATAATTTATATGACATTTGAAGCCTAAATAAAAAGATAGGTTGCCAGGCAACGAAACATACGCCCACAGCAGCTAAATCGTCTGGGCAGTCATAAGCAATTGTGGACGGCCAGACGGGGGCAACGGACGGACGGACAGACGCGGCGACGACAATATACGACCACATTTCAATGTGGGCGTATAAAAAATGCATTAGACAGATTTAGCTCTTGAATAATGCATCTTTAAGGAGCTTGCCCTGTGCAATCACCCTGACTGTAAATCACTATTAGTAAGTGCAGGAGGACCACACCACAACACACAAAACAAAATCTACAAGATAAACCCGTGGACAAGTCAGAATATAGACAGAGCAAAAAATAATAAACAAATATCAAATCAAGTGAATGGATCCGGGGAGCCAGCCGTAAGCGTCCCCTGTGCTGTACAGCCCCAGGGCCTGTAATGTACAGGCTTCACTCAAAATGAAAAAAAATACGATTTACAAAAAAGACGTAACCAGTAGCTAGCCCTGCTTAAGTGCGCGGTTTGCACACCCCTAACCCTGACACGGCTTCATTATGAAATGTGTAAGAAATCTCATCTTAGTTGAAACAATAAATATAAAGTTAATGGACTATTTCAATAATAATTTATATAACATTTGAAGCCAAAATAAGAACCTGCATTAGGCAGATTTAGCTCTTGAATAATGCATCTTTAAGGAGCTGGCCCTGTGTAACCACCCTATTACTACACCCTTTAAGTAGCTGGCCTTGTGCAACAACCCTATTCCCACACTCTTGGGGGGGTTGGATGGCTGAATGGTTAGCGTGCGCGCGCTGTATCATCTTAAAGTCTGTCATTGAGTCGACTGGCGTGGTTTCGAATCACCGGTTGTACGTGGCAAGGAGTAGGGTCGCCTGTCCAACCTCGTGGGTTTTCTCCGGGTCCTCCGGTTTCCTCCTACTGCTAAAGACCCCTATGCGCAAGCAAATTATGTAAATAAAATTAAAACCATATGTTATTCCCGAAATGACCTGGTTTGTGTCGAGTGGACGTTAAACCCCATTTCTCCCTCTCTCTCCCACACTCTTTAGTAGCTGGCCTTGTGCAACCACTCTGTTTGAACATCTCGAAGTAGCTAGCCCTGCACACCCCTAACCCCGACACTGCTTCATGATGAAATGTATAAGAAATCTCATGTAAGTTGAAACAATATATTTTAATATGAAGTAAATGGTCTAATCTTTGTGTTTTTGCTATTTTTCAGTATCGACTTTTATTTGGAAACCTTGTTGCCTTAATCTGGACCACTTACATTTCGGTTAAAAGAAACAAAATGCTGGTCTCCAAATGAACGGATTCGCCTGAAAAGATACTTCTGATAAATTAGACATTTTTTCTTGAATGATACTAATACCAAATAAAACAGTGATGGTTGTATTATGAATGAAGACACTGACTCAGCATAGTTCTGAAATTTTTGAAGGGTGCATTTTTGATGCTTAAATGGAAGAGTTTCAGATATTTGTATTAATTTGTAACATGATTTTTATTGATGGGAATGATTTTGTTTATTTTGATGCTTAAATGGAACAATTTCAGATATTTGTATTAATTTGTATAATATGATTTTTATTGATGGGAATTATTATGTTCATTATTTTCTGAGAGAATGATCCATGACATGACAGGGAATTACTATGTTCTTAGCGCTTCCTCTTGTAGCAGATGTATCTGGCAGAAGTTATTATTAGTTTTAGTGGTAGTTATCTCCCTTGTTCTGTTCTGTGTTTTGATAAACCCACGTTATATTAGATGTTCAGGTTTGAGTATTTTTTCTGCATCAATTAAAACTTCATGACAGCTTAAAGGAGGCGTCCCAGAAAAACTTTAGTGAATCGAACAGGTTAATTTTGTATTAAATATGTCTACTCTTAGAGTCCTGTACAACTATTAGAAGCAATGTGATACCTCTAATTAAAGCTTGGGGTGGGGGGGGATATAAAATAGTTAGCACATGCACGCTGTATAATAAGGCCTGTCATTGAGTCAACTGGCGTGGTTTCGAATCCCTGGTTGCACCGATAAGGAGTAGGGTCGCCTGTCCAACCTCGTGGGTTTTCTCTGGGTCCTCCAGTTTCCTCCCACTGCTAAAGACCCCTACGCGCAAGTGAATTATTGAAATAAAATTAAACCATATGTTAGTCCCAAAATGACCTAGTCTGTGTCTCTCTTATCAACCTTTATAATAATCCTGTAAAACTATTGTAAACTTTCATTTTACATGTGTTCAGTGAGAAGCAATCTGTTTAAAACACAGATCCTATTTCGTTTCGTGCTTTATAGTTCAAAATTTTGTTTTACTTGTCTTTACTACACTAGGATCTGGAAGAGTTGTTATTTAACCTGCGTGATTGATGTGAGGGATTAACCAATGAAACGGTCTGTTACGACGAGTTCTTGGCGTGCGTTGCACGGAACTGTAGATATCCCAGTAGAAACATCAACGCTGATTGGTTAATCAAAGTCTGACGTCATAGGGTCAAAAGCCGCTTGTATGACCCCTGACGTGACTTCCCACTACAGCCGGTCAGATCCTCATGTAGCAGAGGCCATCGAAAGTATAAAAACCGAAACGATATATAGATCTGTATTTTAATCAGATTGGGTGAGAAGTACCAAAATTCCATTCAGTGCCTAAATGCCATGTCTATCTACTTGCATGTAGTAATTGAAGTAAGAGGACGTCATTATCACTTTTGAAATAGGTGGAACTCCTTAAATAGGTTACATGACCCATCTAATGCGATCACTTCAGGACTACTAAATATTTTGAGCTGAAACTGTCAGATAGGCACGCTATTCTGTTTATTTTTAATCTGTAGGCTACGATTGTGAAGTGAATCTAACACAATCATTTCAGAAATACGCAATATTTTGAGCTCAATATATCGAGTAGTTTTAACATTATTTAACAAAGCATGGAACCCCTTGACATTATTTAAAGGGACAATAACAATCTTGCTGGCTTGACAGCTCCAGAAAATAAAAAATAGCCTTATTCTAAGTATTAGATGTTTAAGTATCCTACCTGTTGTTTAAATTATCCATTAAATCCTATTTTACTTGTCCAGAGGGTTCAAAAATATTTTTAAATCCAAGTCACATTTAAAAAGCTTTACGTCAGGCTTTTCAAATCATTTAGTTGAATTTTTCCAATTTTTTAAATTAGGTGTGTTAAGATGAAATTTGTATCATCAATTAATTGGAATATTGTAAAATAGTACAATTTGTTGACCAGAATAAAGATTGGGACATATTATTCAGTTACAACAAGAGTGGTATTGAGCCTTTAACAAAGCATGAAACCTGTACTTATATTTAACAAAGTATGGAACCCCTTGACATTATACAACAAAGCATGAAACCCCTTGACATTACCGGTATACAACAAAGCATGAAACCTGTACTTCTATTTAAAAAATATTAAGAACCTGTACTTACATTGAAAAAATATTAAGAACCCGTACTTATATTTAAAAAATATTAAGAATCACAAATTGTAGGATAAAGTGGAGTCTGTTCATATGTTGAAATGAATTAAAAAAATACCTCAATTTTTGTGAACTTGTACTTGTACTTCTAATCTCCCATAATGTATCTTTAAGTCTGAGAATTCTTTGTTAACTCGAGGACTGGTCATTAGAAACATCACAGTTTCAGATAAAAATACATTTGTAAAATTCTCGAAGGGAAAATATGTTTAAATTTAATAACCCTATAATTATGTTGTTGAAAACCATGTTTTAAAATTGAATGCTTCAATTGAATGCTCAATAATTGAAATAAATTTTTTATACAGTTATCTCCCTTTCCTGTTGAATTGTTATAGGGCTAAATCTATTTGTTAAGGCCAGCTCAATTTTCGTCAAGATCGCGGAGATGTAAATAAGGTTAGGGCACGTGATTGTTGGCGAGATTGTGGGTTAGGGTTAGGGTAAGCATTGGGGCTAGGTCCAGGGTTTGGATTAGCGCTAGCCCTGTTTACATCTCGTGACCTTTGACCAAACTTGAAGTATGCCTTATCAAATAGACCTAACCTTGTTTTAGATGTTACCCAACACTAAATGGTAGAGCAGTCAGGGCACTGGATTCATAGGCTAGAATATCCCAGGTTGAATCCTGCAACAACTTTAGGATTTTTCAAGCCTGGTTCATTTATCAGGGGTCAGATCTAAATATTACAGCCACGTGAAGATTTCATCACGGTTACGAGATTGTGGATTACGGTTAGGTCTTGGGTTGGGTTAGGGTAAGCACTAGCCTTGTTTACATGTGTGATCTTGATGAAATCTGCAGGTGGCCTTAATATTTAGATTTAACCGTGCCGGAGGTCTATTCATATACACATTGGAGTGTAGCCAGGGACGACCACATAAAATAAGCGTAGGCTGCAGTGCCTCTGTCCACGGAAAAAAAAACTCTTAGCGAGAGAGAGAGAAATGGGGTTTAACGTCAACTCGACACAAACTAGGTCATTTCGGGACTAACATATGGTTCAATTTTATTTCAGTAATTTGTTTACGAGGTTGGACAAGCCACCCTATTCCTCGTTACGTACAACCAGGGAGTCGGGACCAAAATCTCTTAGCACACTGTATGGCGTATGCCTATCTTCATTACCTTGATTGGTTCAGAAAAGTAGGCCATTAAACCCACTTCATTTCATTTCTTTCTTGGTCACTAATGTGGACTCAAAGAAAATTCAAAAGGGACCCTACTCTTTATCACATACTAGCTTGGGATTGAAACCATGCCACTTGAGTCAATGAGAGACCTTATGATCTAAAGAAATGAAATGAAGTGGGGTTTAACGTCCTACTGTTCTGCTCCGAACTGGGCTAATGAAGACGGGCATACACCATACAGTATGCTATGAGGGAAATTTTGCCCCGGCAAAGGCACTATTGCCTACTCTTATATCGAATTCCAACTGCCAATGGATCTTTAATGTGCACGTCAATGTATGCATGAGAACTCAGTTTTTTGTTACATCCAAACGACTAGACAGCTGTCCTTGTCAGGCCCTCCGTCCTGCACCACTGACAAGATGGAACCACGTCAGAAAATCCCAAAGATCGAACATCCGACCTCTTGGCTAGCGAGCCAGAGTCTTACCCACATATCCACCATAGCTCCCATGATCTAAAGAGTAAACGTAAAGACAAAAGAACATATCGTCGCTTTTCTGGCGAACCGACGAATCTGAAATATTGAAGTATTGAGAATTATCCGTTTGAAATTTGCGTTCTGTTGTTATTTTTGTAGCCATGAAATATTAACATTTATTTATGATTTAATATTTCATACATATACATCAGGACACGGAACGCCATTTACATAAACGTTATTATTTGATGGACATACAGCGCAAATTTCAAACGCATAATTCTCAATACTTAAATATTTCAGATTCGTGGGTTCGCCAGACAAGCAACGAACCCCCACCCAACGACGAGAACAATAAAAAGTAATATTTTGTTTCATTTATTCATTTTACATGAGTCTTGATTTAAAATCATGATATATAGACAATGATATTTATACACACATGACATAATATATACATAAAGCCACAACATGTGCAATAATTTATAAATAAATAATAATGTTAATTATAACATAATTTATAAACATGAAAGACCAGATTATTATAATCATTATCTATAAAAAGATTAATTCTACGTCCATTTAAATCTTTTATTCTCAAAAAAATATTTTCATTCCAATAGCGAGTTTCGACGACGGCCTAATTTGTTCATGCGAGTATCAATGTTTGCTCCCGATGTACGCCATGCGTAAAATTTGAGTTGATATTAGCACAAAAAGCACCGAGAGGTCCATCATGTTAAGAAGTCAGTCATGATATTTCCCTCGAATACTGTAGTCAAAATAAAGCGTAATCTTTGACAGAGGGGAAATGAAGATTGCACAAGAAATTCACAAATTGCATAATCAAACCTCATGATGACTGGATGTCAAAGCCTAATTCTTGACGTCAAATCCTACGACAGATTTGAAATTGGGAGAATTGACGATTCAGCGAGAATTTCACAAATTGCATAATCATTCCTCACAAATTGTACAATCAAGCCTAATTCTTGAGAGAAATGGGGTTTAACGTCCAATCAAAACCAACTAGGTCATTTCTGGACTAACATGGTTCAATTTCATTTCAATAATTTGCTTGCGCCTTGGGGTCTTTAGCTGTGGGAGGAAACAGCAGGACCCAGAGAAAACCCACGAGGTTGGAAGGCGACCATACTCCTTGTCCCGGTGAATCGAAACCACGCCACTTGACTCCATGACAGACCTTATGAAACAAAACTCACCCGCTAACCACCTGGTCATCGAAACCCCCTAAATCAGAATAAAAGAAAATATGGACTGGGGGCGTTATTCACAAAGTTTTAAACTAAAATATTTTGAGAAAGCTGGCTTTTAATTGGCTAAAATCAGAATTTTAACCTAGCGTGTTAATTCTCAGGCAATGAAAATGTTGAATGATGAAATTATTTCTGTTGAAGCATTCCTGAATACGACCCCTGTAGTTAATCTAAATATAGTCTATTAGCGTACCTTCGCTGTACGTTCTCTCCACACCATCCCCGCACATTACTCCCTTTAAATAAGTTAATTTATACAAGGATCCATAAAATCACAACAAATTCTTATCTTCAACCATATATTCAAATTCATTTCGATGGCATTTAGTAATTGAACTGGAATATACAGATCACAATTTTATGAAATACACTACTTATTACTGAGAGATATTTCTACTAGGCTTCTCTAGTATTTTTCAAACAATGATAAAATTGTGACCTGTACATAACCTTATATTTTCATTGTTCTATTGCAGAGCGCTTTTTCAGTTTCAGCAAGCCTGAAAATATGGTACCTTTCACAGACAATGTCAGGCACTAATTTTGGTTTTGTCAGACACAGTTCCTGTCATTTATTAAAGATGCATTATGGATTAAAACATCCACAAGATTTAAAAATTTAACAATAAAATGAATAATCAAGACTTAGCCTTGTTTGTCAAGTACTGTTGCTACGATACTAAAACATCTACGCTACATCTTCTAACAGTCATCACTTTGCTCAGAATAAAGTAATTTGACTGAAATTTTCAATATATTCATTTTACATTATCTATTTTTGAACTATCAATCATAGCAAGAATGGTCAGCTCTTGATTTAAATTTACATAATGCATCTTTAATATTATTCTAATATTATTAAAAATGTCCGGTACAACTAACATGTCCAGTCCAAAGTTAAAAATGTCCGGTACAACTAACATGTCCAGTCCAAAGTTAAAAATGTCTGGTATAACTAACATGTCCAGTCCAAAGTTAAAAACATCCGGTACAACTAACATGTCCAGTCCAAAGTTAAAAATGTCCATTATAACGTCCAATATTTCTACAATGGTGCCTGACATTTTGTCTGGTCCAGTTATAACTAAAATCTTTACATGTATTTTCAGGTTTGATTTCCAGAATTCAAATTAAGGTCCTTTCTATATTCCTTTCACCTATCTTACAATTCTTGAATATTCTTTTTTATGAACAAAAAAAAAGCTTGATACAGCAGTGTAGGGTGTAGATTTATTTGTAAACGAACTACTGGTATTGATGGGGTTTTTGGGGTGTTTTTTCAAATCACCAACACATAAATTTTCCATTTTGTTTTTTTTACATAACAATTTGTTTCCTCCAAAATCTGATTTATAGTAACTTAATAGATTCAGTCGAAATATTTGATTAGTGAAGGAACCTACACTGTAACCTGGGTATCATTTAAATTAAACGCTTGTATGAAATGAAATGAAATGGGGTTTAATGTCCTACTGTTCTGCTCGGAACTGGGCTAATGAAGACGGGCAGACGCCATACAGTATGCTATGAGGGAAATTTTGCCCGGACAGCGGCACTATGGCCTACTCTTATATCGAATTCCAATTGTCAAGGGATCTTTTACGTGCACACCAATGTGTACACGGGACCTCAGTTTTTCGTCCAATCCGAATGACTAGACAGCTGTCTTTGTCAGGCCCTCCGTCCTGCATCACTGACATGGTAACCAGGCCCGACCTGACCTGAAGGCTAGCCAGCCAGCGTCTTACCTTAGACAATCATTATCAAAATTGAATGGTCAGCTTTAAACTGGACATAGGCACAAATTAGATAATTTTAAACGATTTTTACGAACTTTTAAACAAAGATTGGATATTAAACGAATGTGAAAGAAATCAGTGCTCGATACACAAGATTAAATGATACCCGAGCTACAGTGCCACCAGGACTCTAATTTCAAAATTTTCTAGGGAATACTCAACCATATTACTTTAGATTTAAATAAAATTCAACATCATGCGTAGCCATATTACATTTGTGAGATTTCAAAAAACGTGGTAGTAACGTCCGAATTAAAACATTCACACTTATTGAACGATATGGTTGAGACTTTTCAACTGTATAAATCTACTTGTACAGAAACTTTTCTGCCATAATAATGACAATATACGATACATTTTAAAAAATTATTAAAACAATACTATAAAACGTTTCAAATATCAAATCTGCATAATCTGAAATATGAGTATCAACGTTGGGTACAGGTAGCGCCAAGTCTGTAAATAAGGCATCGGACACTGAGAATATCAGGAACCGATGCCAACAATTAAAACAAGTTATTTCCAGACTGGCAATGTACAATCTGGTTAAAACACAGATCCTATTTCGTTTTGTTTTTTATAGTTCAAAATTTTGTTTTACTTGTCTTTACTACACTAGGATCTGAATGGTGTGAAGGCTTAGGCAATGAAACGGTCTGTTACGGCGTGCTTTAGGTGTGTTTTGCACAGAACTGTGGGTAATCCACTAGTAACATCAATGCTGATTGGTAAATCAAATGTCTAACGTCATAGGGTCAAAAGCCGCTGGTGTGACCTCTGACACGGCCTATCACTACAACTGGTCAGATCTTCATGTAGTGTAGGCCACCGAAAGTATAAAAAAAACGAAATGAAATATAGATCTATATTTTAATCAGATTGGGCAATGATAAAAAGTTAGTTTATTTACGAGTTCTAACTCCGTAATTTGACTACTTATTGCACTTAATAAATTGATCGTCTACTATTAAAACTAGTTTGTCGTGTTAAAAAGCACACAAAAGTAATTAAGTTCTATAAAATCACTAAAAACATTTGAACCTTTTGAGCATTTGCTTCTTATTACATTGTAAGGCCAGACCAATTCAATTTTTTTAGTTCTTTAGGATCCTGATAAATGAACAATGTTCTTTTTCAAATTTGAATCTTTAAGAGCTTTTGTGAAGCGTTTGGCTGAATCAATCGGTGTCGAAATTCGCCTAGTGTGTCCATTGTCAAATATGTTTGATATAATCGTCCGAATTGTATTCGCCTAGTGTGTTCGCTTCGCCGAAGCATTTGCCTGAGTGCAGAATTCATTAAACAATCACCACTCATCGTCCACTCATATTGAGAAGTCACATGATTGTTTGAAGACATGGTCCACGCCATGTTTAATCATGTGACGTGAAAAGTGATAAAATTGAGTGGTGAATCAGGCGAAGCATTCGCCTAGTGTGTCACCGATTTATTTGGCCAAATGATTCAGCTAATGTGTTCACCGCTTAGGAGAGTAAGTTAGTTATTACAGTTTTAAAATTAGGTTTTTTGGGCATGTTTCACGAAATTTTAACTAAGATAAAGTCCAAATTTTAGTAATTTGATTGGATAATATTAGATTGATTTTAGTGCTTAGCCAATCAAAATTGAAGTAACGTTATCTACTAAAATTTTGATTTTATCTTCAGTTAAAATTTTGTGAAACAGGGCCCAGGCAGTAATATATTTAATAGATTGTTCCTGAAAAACAAAATTTCGAATTGGTGTTGCCTTGGCATGATTTAAAAATAAATTAAAATAGAGATCATCGTTTTTCATTGTTCAATTCTTCGTTTCATCTTAAACTATCTACACTACTGTTACTCCAAGTCCGTTGACGTCTATATCTGCGTACGGATCTGGATCTACTCCGAGAACGACTATATGAATGATAACTACTGTCAGAGCTTGGTGGGGAGGGGCGATTATATGGGACTGGTCTTTTTCTTGCACTAAAAAAAATATAAAAAAAACACAAAAATAAATCAGAAGTGAACTATTATTTTTGTAGATGAACTTCAATATATTGTCACGTTAAATTTAAGAATTGATATTTTTTGTGATTTTTTATTATTTTTTTTTTAATCCAAAAGAATTTTCTTTCTTTAAATCAAAGTCATATAAAGATTTACAATAACTGCATTCAGTAGATTTGACAAATTTATAGAACAAAGTTGAAAATAAATACATTCAGAATAATACTTCAAATAAACAGCACATGCAGAAAATCAAACAGAAAAAAAAAGTGTTTTTAGTGTGATTTACATACTTACCGATATAATACAATTTTAAACTATGTAATCATTTTAGTTTATTCAGATATAAAAATAAACTTTATTTAAATATCGGTTAAAATACTTTTTCCAAATAATACAAAGTATTTAGTCATTTTACTTTATTCAGATATAAAAAATAATCTTTTTACCAAATAATACAAACTATGTAATCATTTTAGTCTATTCAGATATAAAATAATCTTTGTTTGAATATGGGTTAAAATACTTTTACCAAATAATACAAAGTATTTAGTAACTTTAGTTTATTCAGATATAAAAAATATCTTTGTTTGAATATGGGTTAAAATGCTTTTTTTCAAATAATACACAGTTATCTTAATTGGTTATTATTTCACATATATTAGTGTTTCATCATAAACATGCATTACAGATATATTTATTTCATAAAAAGTTTTCCTGATTATGTATACTACATATATATGTCAACACTGTTCATCATGTGCATTCTGCATAAGTATTGGCCAATTACGCTATTTTATCGATATTTCATCTAATGGTTTGGATGCAGCTAAGAAGATACAATTGTTTCTGCCGACTCGGTTGAGATACTTCAAACTTTTGTATTTTGCTAGGAATTTTTGAAAATTTCTGCACCCAACCTACTGAAAAACCTTGGTTCCGCTGCTGTGCTATCAACAAATACACGTTTATCTGGCTAATTTACGTCAGTTCAAGGTCAACTGTACATAAGTACAGAATTTTGCCTGGACAGCAATGTTTCAGTAAAGGCAACATTTTTTGAATTTTGAGTTTGATTTACCATATCTTGATATTCGATTCGTCATATCTGTGGCCCGACTTTTGCCAATCCAGCTGATTATGTCTGGTCTTATATTGAAAAAACAGATTCATTGGTACAGATTAGTATTCCAGAAATATTAGTATTATTTAGTTATAATAAAAATATGAAAATTATTTTGAAATTCAAGTTAATTTTTAGTAAAAATTCTTTTAGAAAGGATTATAAAAGTGTTGTTAAACTAAGCATGAATTAAACATCATGCCAATATAATATTATTAATACCATATTAATTTGAAACAAAGGTTAATTTAATTTTTAGAAAAAACTGCCAATGTAATATGATTAATAACATATTATTTTAAAACTCAAATTTAATTTAATTTTTTAGTAAGAACTGTTTAAGAAAGGATTATAAAACTATTAACTAAGTATGAATTAAACAGATTATATAACCATTGTTAACTAAGCATGAATTAAACACCATGCCAATGTAATAACGTATATACCATGTTGTGGTCTTTCAATTAAAATAAACTTTTGTTTATCTCCGTCTGGTCCGAGAGTACGGGGATCTTGATCTCTCTTGCCGAGAGTACGGTGAACGGGACCTAGATCTTCTTCGTGTGTTTCTGTCTCGAGATCTTGATCTTCAAGATCAAATTTAAGGCCACGGCAAAAAAATTAAAATGAATATGAAACAAAAGAAAAGAAACAAAAGAAACATTTAAAAATAAAAAGTGAGGGATGACAACATATAAAAATAAAATTTGAGGACAACATAAAACTTGGATATGAAGGTTGTACTTTATTTATTTTCTTATCCCTCACCGAACAAAGTGAAACATGCATTATGCAAGAGCTAAATCTGCCTATTGCAGGTCTTTCTTTAGGCCTGTAATGTTATATAAACTAAAAGACCTTAATCAACTCTCAATGCCATCTTATGTGTCAGATTTTCACTGGATTTGAATCTGATCTGCTGCTCAACGCTTACTGATGATTAAATCACAAAAATGGATAATCGAGACTATGTTTTTATCCTACCGACTATCGAATAGCAGAAATTTAAATGGGCTAAAACACCCGCAAGATTTAAAAATTCAACGATAAAATTAATAATCAAGACTTAGTCTCGGTTGTCAAGTAACATTCCTACAATAATAAATGATCTACCGGTACACTGAATCTTCAAAAAGTTATAACTTCGCCTCGAATAAAGTAATTTGACTGAAATTTTCAATATATTCATTTTTCATTTTCGAAGTATTATATTAAGAACATCCAGCTCTTTAACTAAATCTTACATAATGCATCTTTAAGGGACGGATATTGAAATGGGTTGTCTGTTCGATCCTGTTTATTTTCTTAAACACCGTTCAAGATATCTATATAGAACTTTGTTCCCACATCAACCTACATAGTACCGTAGACATGCCTTATATGCTGATCAGAAATTTCTTGGATTTGATCATTTTTATGTTTCCATGGAAACAAATTTGACTTATTGTTTGGGTAACCAAGGGTTACAGGAACTTGATGACTAAGTCTTATTGATTAATTTTTAGAGTTTTGACAGAAAGAACGAGATACTTCATCAACACAACATGCTAAATATTTGTCATCAATGTAGCTGTAATTAATAACCAGATCTTGTAATAATACAAATATCAATAATAATTCAGGATCATATATATACCACATGCTTCTGTTCTAGAGAATCATCTTCAAAATTGGCACTGGGGAGGGAGAGAGAGAGAGAGAGAGAGAGAGAGAGAGAGAGAGAGAGAGAGATGGGGTTTAACGTCCACTCGACACAAACTAGGTCATTTTGGGACTAACATATGGTTTAATATTTTATTTCTATAATTCGCTTGCGCGTATGGGTCTTTAGCAGTTGGAGGAAACCCTTCTCCTTGTCATGTACAAGCAGGGCATCGAAACTACGCCACTTGAGTTAATGACAGAGAGAGAGGGAGAGAGAAAGAAATGGGGTTTAACGTCCACTCGACACAAACTAGGTAATTTCGGGACTAACATAAGGTTCGACTTTATTTCACTAACTGGCTTTTGCGTCAAGCTCTTTAACAGTGGGAGGAAACTGACAAAGTCAGGGAAACCCAGGCGGTTGGACAGGTGACCCTACTCCTTGACATGTACAACCAGGGCATCGAAACCACACCACTTGACTCAATGACAGGCCTGATGATCTGGCGTGCACGTGTTAGACCATTCGTGCACCAAATACATCCGACCCCCCCCCCACCGGCAAAATTATATGAATGGAATACTCTACTTTTCCGATATTTGACGATAAGATGGATCAAGAAAGAGAACCATTGATTAAAGATACATTATGGGAGATTAAATAAACAGCTGACAGTTTTCACTATAATAGTTAAAAACTGGATAATGTAAAGGCAATTTGCTGAAAATTTCAATGAAATTGATCAACCCTGAACCGAGATTTTAGCGAATGAAATTTCGGCCTAGCCTCGATCATCATTACTAAAGTCAGTATGATAAAAAACATAGCCTTGATTATCCATTTCATGATTAAATCATGAATGGAAGTAGAACAGCAAATCGGAACCTAAACCAATAAACATCGCAGGCTAGCGATGACATCAAGAGTTAATTATGGTCTGGATAAGTTAATTAATGTCTAATTAATAATACAGATAACATTTCAGGCCTAAAGAAAGACCTGCAATAGGCAGATTTAGCTCTTGCATAATGTATGTTTAATATCGGTAGAAAAGACATGGTCAATGCAGATTATCTCCCCGTATTATAAACTTCAAAGTAGATTATCTTAGAAGAACAAGATTGTCAATATATTACATACGTTCCTTCATGTCCATGTGTTATAAACTAAACAAAAAAACATGTCATGCTCAAGTAATTACAATAATAAGACAACATCCAACATATTCATTTTATATACAACCACAAAAATAAAATATCGACTTTCTTACAAAAAACTGTGTGAAAATTTATTAATTTAAAACAAGAGAGAGAAAGCTAGAGAGAAATGGGATTTAACATCCACTCGACACAAACTAGGTCATTTCGGGACTAACATATGGTTTAATATTTTATTTCATTATTCAATAATTCAGTTGCGCGTAGGGGTCTTTAGCAGTGGGAGGAAACCGGAGGACCCGGAGAAAACCCATGAGGTTGGATAGGCGACCCTACAATTTAAAAAATGAAATTTTGCCCGGGTAGCTATGGCCTACTCTTATATCAAATTCCAACTGCCAAGGGATCTTTTACGTGTATGCCAATGTATAGAGTGCACCACTGACAAAGGGAAGCCACACCCGAAAATCAAGATGAAGCAACCCTTTAGAGAGAAAAAGCCTGTGTTTATTGGGGCTTAGACCATGAGATTCGACTATGAGTTTGTCTGATCATGGGTCCGTGAGACCATCTATCAAATCGATGGGTGAATTTCACAATCAATCAATGTTCTATTCCTATGAGAATTTTTAAGAATATCAAAATATTGTATGCAATCTGGATGCAAAAAATATTTTGAAAAGATTCTATACTTCATTTTAATGGTTGTACATTACAAAATAAAAACATCAATAAAAATGAAAAATTCAAAAAGAAATCCCATTTACCACGGATTTTGTTTAACGTAAACAAACTGAGATAGCTTTTGTACCCTGCTAAATATTCTACCTGTGAATAGGTCGTTTACAGGAAGGATAGAATGCAACATGGATTTACCAATCAGATTGAAGTAGAGTAATTATATATGTGCAGATATTAAGAACTTAGTCAGATTGCAGCAGTCTAATTCGATATACAAGGATGGCATTGATGTTTGGACTTGAGGGGATTGTAATAATCAAGGTATATTCTTAGTTTTATCATAAACAATTCACAAGAAATGGCTCTGATATTCATGGTTTAGTAGACATCAGATTGCAGTAATTAAATATTTGTGGATGGCATTGATGTTTGGACTAAAGCAGACTGTCATAATGACACTGTAAAAGGACCTTAATATTCATAGTTCAGCAGACATCAGATTGCAGTAATTAAATATGTGCAGATGGCATTGATGTTTGGAGTAAAGGTGGCTGCCTTAATGATGGTATATTCCAAATCTGATCAAAATCACTCTGCCAGAAATAAAGAGAGGGACGAAAGATTGGAAGGATGGAAAGACCCAACTTAATAGCCCCTCCCCCTCACCCATTACAACAGAAAGGTGAGGTGAAAATCTTGAAGAGACAGGAGGTTCTTGAGCGTTACCTTGTGATACGTCGTTTATCTAAATGGCTAGGTGAACCTTTCCGCCTACGTATCGACGGACTTCGCGATAATCGGCGTCTGGAACTGCGACTTTGACTTCTACTTCTGCTACGTGATGGTGTGTACCGTTTACTTGGAGATCTAGATCGTGATGCTGTATGTCTAGATTTACTGGAATAAAAAAAAGGATGATGCTGGATCAATAATTATCATACAAAAATACTCCTTAAATTTGATAAAACCTCTTCAACAAATACCATGCAGAGACAAATATATCCTGACTTGCCATAAAAATTAGCTAGAGAGAAATGGAAATGAAAGGAAATGTGATTTAACATCCTACTGTTCTGCTCTGACTGGGCTAATGAAGACGGGCATATGCCATACAGTGTGCAATGAGGGAAATTTTGTCTGGGCAGTGGGACTATGGCCTACTCTTAAATCGAATTCCGACTGCCAATGGATCTGTTACATGCATGCCAATGTATACATGGGACCTTGGCTTTATGTCCCATTCAATGCAGGGATTGAATATGTGACCTCCAGGCTAGCGAGCCAGCGTCTTACCCACTTATCCACCATGGCACCCCCAAAAAATCAGTATCCAAAAGGAACAAATTTACTGTTCACACAAAAGGATTTATCCTATCAAGTTTGCTAGTGTGACTCTGCCTTAATAATCTGAATATCACACTAAAAATCAAAACAGAAAACAGCTTACATATTAGATCTACTCCTAGAATATGACCTTGATCGAGATGACCTTGACCTGTGATTTCTACGCACTGAAGATGATCGTTTTCTTGATGCTGATCTCGACCTTGATCGAGTGTGTCTATTTTTATCGTGAGGAGAAGCAGTCTTTGTGTGGACAGATGATCTCCGTTCCAGGGAATAACTTCGGGATTTACTTCTTCGTCGGGGTGATCTGGGGGATTCGCTCACATCCCTGCCATTTTTTCTTTTGTCTTTTTCCCTACCGTGACCATTACTGCGTCTGTGACCAGAGACACAAATTTTAGATTAACAAATAAAAATCAAGTTGTAATTTAATTGCTCATTTGATTGACAAAGAAGATCAAATTGTAAATCAATTGTCCTTTTGGTTGACAAAATGTAAATCAAATTGAAAATTAGTGCACACATTGTAATTGATTACTCAAATTGTAATTTGATTGCTCATTTGATTGGCAATTCCTCAATTATTTTGAAATAAATCCTTACTTTGGTGCTGGACTGGGTGATTCATCTGATGATTCTCTTGCTGATGGTGATCTCTTTTTATCACGACCTCTACTAGACTTTATAGGTGAAGGACTAGCTCTCGGCTGTGGTTGTATTTCTGCTTCATCAACTCCAGATTCAGCGGACGAGGAACTGTAACAGGAATCGTTTGATTGATTTTGATTGTTCTCTCTTAGCTTGTGATTTGGGGGTCGCGGTTGTTGAGGGGTCAGGAATGTCCCAGGTTCAAACCCTGGTGTGCACTGAGAAGAACATTGTTAGAGATACTGCAGGAGAGATTGAAAAGGGACGTCTGGATGAGATAGAAAACCAGGGTTTAAAAGAACACTTGGAAATTGAGAGAGAAAGAGAGAGAAATGGGGTTTAACGTCCACTCAACACAAACTAGGTAATTTCAGGTGTACATATAGTTCAATTTTATTTCAATAATTCACTGGTGCATAGGGATCTTTAACAGTGGAAGGAAAACGGAGGACGCAGAGAAAACCCATGAGGTTGGACAGGTGATCCTACAATGACAGACCTTATGATACAACACGCACGTGCTAACTATTCGGCCATCCAACCAGAATAGACAGAAACAACACAATCGAGGCTAAATTATCCTCTCTTAAAATTCAAGAAGCCTGTGTCAAAATGACTGAATTAATGTCCACTCAACACAAACTAGGTTATACATGGTAAAATTTTATTTCATTAATTCACTTGTACGTAGGAGTTTTTAGAAGTGGCAGGAAAATGGAGAAAATCCACAGTTAGGCTGTCTACCCTACTCCTTGTCACAAACTTAATACGGAACAACACATGAACTGGACATACAACCCTACTCCTGGTAACATACAAGCTTAGGATCGAAAAAACATCACTTAATTCAATCAGAGACCTTAGACAGAGAGAGAGAGAGAGAGACCTACCTATCATCCTCTGAATCTGTATCACTATCAGAACTTGATGAATCATCTTTCTTCTTGGCTTTCTTAGATTTCTTCTCACTGTAAAACACAACAAGTTTGACATCATTTTACCTTTACTAGGGTTGGAGAGAGAGAGAAATGGGGTTTAACGTCCACTCGACACAAACTAGGTCATTTTGGGACTAACATATGGTTTAATTTTATTTCAATAATTCACTTGCGCGTAGGATTCTTTAGCAGTGGGAGGAAACCGGAGCACCCAGAGAAAACCCACGAGGTTGGACAGGCAATCCTACTCCTTGTCACGTACAACTGGGGATTCGAAACCATGCCAGTTGACTCAATGACAGGCCTTGTGATACAGCGCGCACATGCTAACCATTCGGCCACCCAAACCCCTGAATTCACTAAGGGGGTTGGTAGCCCACTTAACTGAAAGGAAATGGGTTTTAACATTCTACTGTTCTGCTCAAACTGAGCTAATGAAGACGAGCATACAATGTGCTATGAGGGAAATTTTGTGGAGCTACAGCCTACTTTTATATCAAAAACTTTTACGTGCACGCCAATGTGTGTATGGGACCTTTGTTTTTTGTCACAGCTGTTGTTTTCAGGCCGTCCTTCCTGCACCACTGACAAGGTGAAACCACACTGGAATATCCAGCTATTCAAAATTAGAACTTACAATCGTTTAATCTTTTTCTTGGATTTTTTGTGCCTTTTAGATTCAGACCTGAAATTAAGATTTCAGAACCATTTTAAATTCCATGAACCAAAACGTGCAGGTTAAGGACAAGAAAAATGGATGCAAATATACAAAAAAAGATATGATGATTTGTTTATGAATGAGGCCAAGCATTCAAGGCAAAAATACAATGATGTCAATCGCGCTTGATATTCACATCTAAAAAAAACGTAGCGGAATTTGATCACTACTAGAGATACACATGTTAGAGGACGAAGCAGTTCTAATTTTAACGTCTAAATTGTGATATATGATGAAACATCTAAAACATTCTATTCTACAGAGCTACAGTTGATATTCCATTACCAACTACGTTTCATGACGTTAAAACAATAAAGATCTGACAAAATCAGACTTTAGAATAACTAGAATTCTTAGAGTGAAAAATAAAGGTGTCCTTATAATTAAATTTGAAATGGTTAACTGTCTCCAGTTAAAATTAAACAATAAATAACGATATTTATATTTTACAATTATTCAGTCCCACTGGGGAATGTTCAAGGCACCTCTTTCATATGTGCAGCTAGAAAGGCACAACCATGACTTTTATGGACTATACAATTATTCAGTCCCACTGGGGAATGCTCAAGGCACCTCTTTCACATGTGGAGCCAGAAAGGCGCAATCTTGACTTTTATGGACTATATTCGAGGTACGTTAAAAAAATATTTATGTTTATTCATATCTGTAGCTTTTAGTTTCCACACATACTATCTCATGGAGTCTGTTCGCGTAATCTTTGGTTATTAGCGTAAGTTTTTTTTATTATCGAAGCCTGTAAAATAGAATATTTATGAATCTACAGCATAGAATATCTCTAAATCTTTTAGCATGCAAATTTAAATATTGGTGAATAAATGATTTTTGTTAGTTCATTGTAGAAAATACCAACACCACAAATATACATAAAGAATACACTAAATATAAACTGTATTCACTATAATAACTACCTGAGGGGAAATAACTGTAATAACCCCTCCAATAACTACTCAGGGGGGGGGGGGGAAATAACTTTAATAACCCCTCCAATAACTGCCCGGGGGGTAATAACTGTAACAACCCCTACAATATCTACCGGGGGGGAAATAACTGTAATAACCCCTCCAACAACAGCCCGGGGGGAAATAACTGTAATAACCCCGCCAATAATAACCACCCTGTTCAAATAACTGTCCACCTGCTAGTTTGTAATAAGTTTATTACCCCACCCTCCCATAATTACAGCCAGATTCAAACAAGTGTCCACCTGCTAGTTTGTAATAAGCTTATCCCCGTCCACCTGCTAGTTTGTCATAAGCTTATCCCCCCACCTCCCATAATTACAGCCAGATTCAAACAAGTGTCCACCTGCTAGTTTGTAATAAGTTCATCCAACAACCATCCCATGATAACAGCCAGATTCAGATAAATGTCCACCTGCTAGTTTGTTATAGGTTTATTCACCCACCCTCCCTCCCTCACATAATTACAGCCAGATTCAAATAAATGTTCACCTGCTTGTTTTTTCTGGGAACTGTAATATGTTTACACCAACCCTCTCATAATAGTGGGAACAAAATCTGTTTACACCCCTCCCTACACCCCGCCAACCGCCCTCAATTCATTATGCTTGGTCGTGTAAAATTTTTTATGTCCGATGAGACAACAAACAAGGTACGACGGTACTTCCATTGTAATAACACCTGTCTTTATGAGCATATTTTAAGAGAGAGAGAGAGAAATGGGGTTTAATGTCCACTCCACACAAACTAGGTCATTTCGGGACTAACATATGGTTTAATTTTATTTCAACAATTGGATTGCGTGTAGGGGTCTTTAGCAGTGGGAGTAAACCAGAGGACCCAGAGAAAACCCACGGGGTTGGACAGGCGACCCTACTTCTTTCCAAGTACAACCGGGGATTCGAAACCATGCCAGCTGACTCAATGACAGAACTTATGATACAGCGCGCACGTGCTAACCATTCGGCAATATTTTAAGCACCCGGGCCATTATTACAATGAATACAGTATAATATTAATGCTTATCTATGGTAAAAAATTCTTTATAAACAATTCAAGTTATTATTTGTATGGAGTCAATTAAGCTGCGGTGGTGCCCAACCCCAACCATCTGAATGATTGTCAAGTTGTCATGTGACAGCTTTCATTTCAGTTGATTTAGTCGGTCTTGACTGACAGGCAGGCAGGGATTTTGATCGGTTGAAGATCTTGGCGTGTCTGTCACTTTCAGCAAATTAAACCATAGAAATCAAATGGGGTTTAATGTCCCACTGTTCTGCTCCGACCCCCGGCGACCGGGCTCATGAAGACGGTTAAACCATAGAACACTACACTATAATGGAAAGTCTGGCAACTCTGGTTAGTTGTTAACAATGCCGTTACGAAAACCAAGCAAAGATTCTATCATGGTCCAGTCCTTCTATCCACAAATACTGCAGTTATTTCATGGAAAGATGAGGAGTGTGTCAAGAATATTTTGGGGGAATTTAGAAACTGATACACATGCAAGTGAATTACTGACATAAACATTTGCAATGTGTTAGGCCTCAAATGACATAGTTTTGGGCCAAAAATGACTTAGTGTCGAGACAACATTCAACTCCATCTCTCTCATTAATCGTAAGCTGATATTAGGGAAATTTAAACAAGATTGCGAGAGAGAGAAATGGGGTTTAACGTCCACTAGACACAAACTAAGTCATTTCAGGATTAACATATGGTTCAATTTTATTTCAATAATTCACTTGCGGGTAGGGGTTTTTAACAGTGGGAGGAAACCGGAGGACCAGGAGAAAACCCACGAGGTTGGAACACAAGATTGCTCCCACGTACAGATTTGGGGAATTTTACCATAAATAAGCATCTTAAATTCAAAAATAAAATACGTTTCCAAACCAGATACACATATATAATAAACACAACATGACTATGAAAATATGCTTGTAAAAAAAAAAATATGTATTTTTTTATATATTTTTTATTTCATGAACGACAACAGTTAAAGTGGTACATAAAACAAATAAAAATTATACGGTATCCAAGCAACAGAACAACTTCAATTATTTTTTTATGTGTTTCAAAAATAAATTCACATTGTTTGTAGTTTAGAATTCAGATTATTTGACAACTAAAGAAAACCTTTTGATCAATTATAGAAGTTTTTCTTATTTACGAGGAAAAGAAAACCATCCGTCTACAATTGTCGATTCAAATAGTCTGAATTTTCATCTACGACACATAATTTAAAATTATTAATTTAATCATTTTGATAAGAATGATCTGATTATCGTATCATAATACATGTACTTCTCCCTCAACGACCAATCAGCTTTGATTTTACATACCTTACCTTTCACCTACAGCAAATGGGGGCAGACAAAAGAGGAGGGAAAATTTCGTTATCAGAATCGAATTCAACACGATTAAAAACAATTTTCTACGAGTCACGATCATAAGGAAGGTGACGATATTCAATTATGTAATATTCACATGAATAATATACTCTCATGCAATTATCAATATCTAAATAAAAAATATCATCGACTGCATTTCAATTTAAAAATACAGGTACATAAAAACCTCTCTATTATTAAGTATTCATAATTTTACACAATATATTTACATAAATAATCAATAATTTCCTTCACTCATTTCTTAAAATTTCTACCATATACCTACATGTGCTTCTGCTCCTCTAAAGAACCAAGGGAGCACCAACAAATGTCTCATAAAAACTAATTCAAATAAAACAATGTCTAACTCTATTCAATTTTTGCTTTACCCAGATCAAAAAATATAATCAGACATAAAGAAGTGTATGAGAACTAGAACATATTATGTCCACAAAAAAATAAAAACAAAACAACATTTTAACATAATTAAATAAATCTAAAAAAATAATAATAATAAAATAATCATTTGAAAAAACATTCAGCGAAAAACACAAGAGCTTTTTGTTAAGATTTACATGTAGGCTGCCTAAAAAATCTGAGATGCATCAAAGATGCTATTATTTTGTTATGTTAAATTTTGAAACTCTTTCTCCGAGTAAACAAATGAGTATATAAGTTTGAGGAAAGAAATAACACAGAGCTTAAAATAAAAGTTTATGGAGCCAACTTGCAGCGTACAGTGATGGCGCTTAATATCAAAAAAGTTTCGAAAAAATTATAAGCCTCAACATTTCGGTCATTTTGAAAAAATTAACGACAAAATGTTAAAAGCTAAATTAATCAGAAATGCACTTTGCCCCAAAAAGCCATTGACATCTTTTCTTAATCTTAGCAGCTGCAAGCAAACTCCTTCAGCAGATGTCGAAGTGAATGGGATAAGCGGCATGCAGAATATAGAATAGCATAATACATTTAGTCGGGGAAGTGGCAGAAGAGCTTCCTGTGATAATTGATCAAACATTTAAATGTCTCTAGGTGATTTGTACGCCTGAACAGTGGTTCACATTAATATTAACCAACATTCAAATAGTATTTCACGGTTTTTCAAATGATTTTTTAAATATCTTTAGGTCATTTGTAGGTGTGAACAATGCCTTACATAAATATTAACATTCAAATAGTTTTTTCAAGTTTTTTTTAACCTGATTTTTGTTTGTTTTTGTTATTCATTATCAACTAAAAATAAAGGATTTTGATTTTTTTTTCTTTGTCTGCCATAGGAAATATTTCATAACATTACATCAATGTGATCCGCAAATTTTCAAAAAATAAAGATATAAGGAATTATTTTGGTTTTAAACAATTACAACCTTTAGAAATTACTAAATGCCATTGAAGCAATTTATCACCGAATGACTTATCTGTCACCTTCATGTAAATAATGATGGAAATGGAATGAAAGACGGATACAAAAAGTTGGGAATTTTGTCGAACTGAAATTCAAGCATACCTGGCAAGAAACCATCTAATCTAGCTTGCTATTGATAATTTTACAGTAGAGAGGGATATAAAGACTAAAAGATTGAATCCTAATTTATTTAAATATGTCTACCTACAGAAAATAAACAAACCAGCCGTCACCAAAATCAGGGCTTTCAATTTTCAATTTTTGCCAGTCTGACCTTTCTTGCATGTATATTTTGTCACATTTTTCAGGAATTGCCGTTAATTCAAAGAAACAAATTAGAATAATTTTCATCATTTATATGTAATGTAAAATATAGTTTACAACCTAGTAAAGTACTACAAATTTAGTATTTATATTGTTTAATAGTCCAATTTTTCATGAATTCCCACAACAAAAAAATATATTTGTAAATTATTGTACGATATAAAAGAATTGAATTTTTTTTTTTACACAAATAAATAATAACATAAATTCAGTATTTGTGTGGTTTTGACATTTAATTCTCTAAAATAATGCATTTTATTTCCTGTAAATTGACTCACTGACAAATAAACCAGTGGTTCAGATTTAACCCAAGTCAGCCTGGACCGGCAAAAATAGATGAAAGTGATAGCCCTGCATGGAATACAAGGATTGGAAATCATCAGAAATTCTAGAGATCTTACAAAGTTGTAAATGACGGAGGGTGGAAAAAATGTAGAATTTAATTTTTTATTCATAGAATCACAGAAAAGGAAACCATATGTAAGATTTCTGATCCACAAAGATTTGAAATAATTTGTTAAATTTGATTAACTAAAGCCTATCCGATGTATGTAATAGTTGTTATCTCATTTTAACGAAGGCCCGTTCGATCTATGTAGGTATTGTTATCATCTTTAATAAAGGCCCGCCCAAATCTATATCGACATTGTTATCTCCCTTTTATCAACGATAAACACTTAGAGATCGCTTAAATATTGAACATTAAATTCCTGAACTTGGGAGTTTAATACATGAAATGTAATAAATGAAATGAAATGGGGTTTAACGTTCTACTCCGACTGTCCTAATGAAGACGGCCATACACCAGATGTGTGTTATTAGGGAAATTTTGCCCGGACAGCACCACTACAGCCTTCTCTTATCAAATTCAAACTGCCAAGGGATCTTTTACGTGCATGCCAATGAGTACAAGAGACTTGTTTTTCTGTCCCATCCGAACGACTAGACTTGTGAGTTTAATACTTCTGGGTTGTCTTTTTATATCATGTTTAGGAATTTCAAGTTTAACTGAACTTTTGGATTTAAAGCTCACAATCTCAACATATATATATTGAAAATAAAATTTCCTGAACTTTGATTTTAATACTCGTCTTTTTACATCATATTGGAGAATTTCAAGTTTAACTGAAGTTTTAGATTTCCTGAACTTTGATTTTAATACTCGTTTTATTTACATCATGTTTAACTTAAGTTTTAGATTAAAAACTAGCAATTTCAACATAATTTAGAAAGCTTAGTTGAACATTATTATCAAATAGACAAAGGAAAAGGAGTTTAGCAGAAAAAGTGAATTAAAGCTCCTGATGGATTTTGAATCACTCAAAAACTGCAAGAATGTGAAAGTTAAATCTCAAAAAGGAATGGTTCGATTCCGTTCAGTATTTGAAAAGCTTAGTTGGACATTATCAAATAGAAAAAGGAGTTCAGCAGAAGAAGTTAATTTCCCAGATTTATCATGTACCTTAATTAACCCATTAAGCGTGACGTTTTTAAAACGTTAACTACCCCCTATTGTGTAATTAATTTGACGAAGTGACGAAGGACTTTATACTATGTTCTAAGAATAGGTTGGGGAAAATACCTCCAAGGCGTTATATTACGCCCTACACACAGTGAGTGGCAGTTGTCCAGGTCGTTATAAAACGAACTATGCACTTAACGGGTTAAAGCTTCTGTTGCATTTTACCTAGATATGATGAATTGAAAATTTCGCAAAATTCTACATCTACTTACAGATGATATAAACGAATCAGCTCTACCTCTAAGTGTTGCATAAAATCTTTTGATGGGCCTCTTACTATCTGAATCCGAGACGGGGGGGATAATCTATCGCGGATATTGTGAGGTTTATGATATTGTTGTGATTAAATGTTTAATCAATCTGAGTACATTTTGGCCATGAAAAATCAGATATTGTCCCAAACAATGCATGATCAGTATTGACGACTTTAACTAACCGCAAAACAACATACAAGCTCATTGTTAAATATATTCGCCCCAATATTCCTGTACACAAATAGGCCTATCAGTAGACATTTTAGATCTGTTCATGCCTTAGCCAATAATAATTCTAATGCCTAAATAATATATTAAAAAAATCATTTACACATACAGAGACGGTTGAATAAATATTATTTATTAGTAGGTCAAGTGTTTTATGAAATATTAAACAAAAATGAGTGCAGAATATGGCACATTCACGAAAAAAAACAAATTTAATTAAAATAAACAGGCAACTAGAAACACATACTGGGCGGCAACGACGCGAACAATAAACATTTTCACATAACTCAAAAGTCATTTCCAAATTTATAGTACTCATAAATGTTCAGTGGTTCTTTTTATGTCATGATGCAAAAAAAAATATTATCTTGGAATTTCTATTCATCTCATTTGAAGGGGAGAAAACCAAATGTTTCTTTTTTTTTTTTTTTCTCGTAAAACAATAATAATATATAAAATCACATACAAGATTCCTCTCATGATTGAGAGCTGTAAATAAAAAAAAAGATAAAATGCATAATAAAAAAATAAGCAAGAAAATCAAAACAAATGCAAAAAATGAAAAAGACAACATCTACAGACCTCTAAGAGTTTATAAAATATATTTATTTTCTCTCTTTTCGTCTATTCTGTGAATTTAGGTATTTAAAGTTGGGTTTGATTTGATATATTTGATCAAAATTATGGAATCGGTTTTTAGTTTAGTTTTTTTTATAAACAATATTTTTATTTGGGTTGTCTGAATGGGATTGGGGAACTGGCTTTGCCTATGTAAAACCCCTCTCCCTGACGAAATCCCATTTTCACTTGACTGTCACTATTTTGGGTTTGACATAATTCATTTTCGGAACGTTTAATTGAGCATCCCTGAAAGTTATCATTAATCTCTGGTAGAACTTTGATGACACAAAATCACCTGATATTTTGTTAGCTGCGGTGAAAAAATTATTCCCAGGCCTAAATTTTGACTACTATTCCCTACCTCGCCCCAACACTACCCTGAAAACATTTCTCTCTAATTTTGATCAAATATAAAAAATCTTAAAAACTAAAGGGTGAACGAACAGTCGACAGATTAAAACCTCAGTAACCATGGAGATAAAAACAAAATGAAATAAATAATAAACAAAATTTGAAATAAAAAGATGGGGGGAAATAAACACAACCCATGTATCCTATCCTTAACAATACATATATTGTTTGAGAATGGAAGATTCAGTTTCGCAACAACATAAAGCTTAAACTACACAAACTTTTTTTTTTAGTGTTTTTAACTTAACAATAAATCTATGACTGTTCTCTCGATATTAGTTAAATTTGTGCTAAAATTGAAATATGATGTACAAAATTTCATACATACCGATCATGTTTGTGTTTTTTAGATTTCTTTTTCCTTTCTTTTCTTTCCGGAGAACTACTTTCTGTCCTGAAACGACAAGAGTTAAATAAGATTTAACATGTATTTGGGACTTCTGGAGAACTACTTTCTGTCCTGCAACAACAAGCGTTAAATAAGATTTAACATGTATTTATTATTGGGACTTCTGGAGAACTACTTTCTGTCCTGAAACGACAAGCGTTAAATATAAGACTTAACATGTATTTATTATGTTTTGCACATGACAAATACATGTCAAAATAACAATGGATGACTCTCCTTTTAGGGAGAGAGAGAGAGATAGAGAGAGAGGGTTTAACGTTCACTCGACACAAACGTCATTTCGGGACTAACATATGGTTCAATTTTACTTCAATAATTGGCTTGCGCGTAGATGTCTTTAGCAGTGGACAGGCGACCCTACTCCTTGTCACGTACAACCTGGGAATATAAGCCACTCCAGCTGACTCAATGACAGACCTAATGATACAACGCGCACACGCTAACCATTCAGCCATCCAATCCCCTCTCCTATTCAGACTTCTGGGGAACTACTTTCAGTTCTGAAACGACGAGCGTTAAATAAGATTTTTATACTATGTCCATACATAACATGTATTTATTATGTTTTGCACCAATCTGATTAAAACATAGATCCGGGACTAACATATGGTTCAATCTTGTTTCAATAATTCGCTTGCGCGTAGATGTCTTCAGCAGTTGGAAGAAACTACGGCCTCTGTTGTTAAACCTGTTAACTCATGAAAGCTGTGCTATAAATATAATTTAATCTCAATACTCATATTTTTAACTTGATCGAGCCAGAAACAACCAACCAGTTGAAGCATGAATAGAAATTGTATTCAACAATAATAACAAGTATCATAAAAGTTACGGAGCAAACTTTGGATCCCTGACAAATCACACACGAGGGAAAATTTGGCTAGTGTATATAGGCCTTAAATGATAATAATTTGTAAGAAAGAATTTGAAGTCTTACCGCGAGTTGCTCTCCTTACGTTTGCGGCTTGCAAATATAAAACAAGACATGTTATAAGTTTGACTTAAAACATTTCCCTATGATAGCAGTATCAAACCTGTGGCACAAGTGGCATATTGCACATTATGCCATTCCGAGTGGCTCGATTCCAAGTGGCACATGCAACCATTCCAAGTAGCACATTATGCCATTTCAAGTGGCACAAGTGGCATATTGCACATTATGCCATTCTGAGTGGCTTGATTCCAAGTGGCACATGCAACCATTCCAAGTAGCACATTACGCCATTTCAAGTGGCACATTTCACCATTTCAAGTAGTATATTACGCCATTTCAAGTGGCACATTATGCCATTTCAAGTAGCACATTACGCCATTCCAAGTGACACATTACACCATTCCAAGTAGCACATTACGCCATTCCAAGTGGCACATTACGCCATTTCAAGTGGCACACGTAACCATTCCAAGTGGCACACGTAACCATTCCAAATGGCACCATTCCAAGTGTCACATGAAACCATTCCAAGTGGCACATGTAACCATTCCAAGTGGTACATGTAACCATTCCAAGTGGCACATGTAACCATTCCAAGTGGCACGTGTAACCATTCCAAGTGGCACGTGTAACCATTCCAAGTGGCACAATGCCCCTCATAATACTTATTACATAAAAAAAGACCAGTGTGAATTAATTAATTGTAATTCGGCCCTATGTATTACAGTGTGATATCAAACATTTTATAGACAGACATTTTGCATAATGTTTGTTATCTTTGTTAAAATATTTTAAAAAGTTAATCTTTTGAAGTTATATGTATAATACTTTAAACTTGGAACGTAAAAGTTCGGCCACTCATGCCCTATGGTATATTTTTTCCCTACCTCTTCGGTTGATGAAAGAGAGAGAGAAATGGGGTTTAACGTCCACTCGACACAAACTAGGTCATTCTGGGACTAACATATGGTTCAATTTTATTTAAATAATCTGCTTGCGCGTAGGGCTCTTTAGCAGTGGGAGGAAACCAGAGGACCCGGAGAAAACCCACGAGGTTGGACAGGCGACCCTACTCCTTGTCACGTACAACTGTGGATTTCAAACCATGCCAGTTGACTCAATGACAGGCCTTAGATACAGCACGCACTTGCTAACCATTCAGCCATCCAACCCCCCTCGGTTGATGAAGAGTTCTTTAATGGTATGAGGAAACCAAAAATATGAAGTCAAAATGGTAGGGGTATTTCATGAGATTCAAATATAGAATAAAATATTTAAAAGGGGGTACCTTGAGCGCTTTTTCTTTTTCTTAGGTGGATGTGAAGGGGAGGTTTCTTCATCAGATTCTAAAGTTCTGAAAAGTAAAAGTTTATTCACATGTACTTTAATTAAAATTAAGCCGAGATGTTACACAAAACGTCATAGCACACAGGTCTAGCTAACAGGTATGTTTATAGAGAGGTGTTTAACATCCACTCAACATTTCGGGACTAACATATGGTTCAATTTTATTTCAATAATTCGCTTGCGCGTTTGGGACTTTGCCAATGGGAGGAAACCGGAGGACCCGGAGAAAACCCTTGAGGTTGGACATACAAGTGGGGAATCGAAACCACACCACTTGACTCAATGACAGACCTTATGGTTCCTGTGCATGCGTTAAACCACTAGACCACCCATCCCTCCGCACTTATACAGGGAAACCAGAAAGAGATATCCCGAGGAACTTTCTCCGCCAACCCGTTCATGATTTAGTTACGGGTACGATTCAAAACTTCTAAATCCTTATTTTGGGACACGAATCGTGAACATGGACCTTTAACCTATGATGTAAAAATTAATAAAGAATTGAAGAAAAGTGTAAAATCGAGAGATCTCTATAGCTGAGTAGAATATAAATATTTTTTCTTACTGATATTTTTTGGCTGCCATAGCTTCAGCCCGAGCAGCATCTTCCTTCGTTTTACGATTTGGATCAAATGCGCTGCCGTCAACATAATTATCCAATCCAAAGGCTTCTCGTAACTTGGCATTCTTCTCTGCATTTGCTTCAGCAATTTGATGTGTTTCCTTGGCTCTGCAAAGGAAGAAACAATAAATGTATTAAAAAGGACAGGGAGAGCTAGACACATTCATTACATTTCAACAACTTTTCATACAAACAATGTCTATAGAAAGAACTGAACTTTCTGTTTAAAGAACTGAACTGTTGATGGAAAGATCTGAACTTTCTGTGGAAAGAATTGAACTTTCTATGGAATTTGGAATGGAGATTAGAGGCAGATTTATTAGGCTTTTTTTCCTGAAAATCTATATAATTCTGAGGACATGTGGCAGAGATGTAAAAAAACAATGATTTGACCCTTGTCCGTGGTCAAAACTACAAAATTTTTAAACCCTGCCCCCATTGTTCAGATGAAATAGGATTGAACCCTGAACAACTAGACACTGCTACTGGCCAGGTCCTTCGTCCTGCACCAGAATGGAAAAACTTAAGGAACTTTCTAGGCCATCACCAGAATCAAACCCAGACATAAGCTTTTATTATCCAGATGTAATGTGGCCTGTCTAATCAAGGTCAAAAGCACTATTTAGATGTCTTAAATGTCAGTCTGATGGATGGACGGACAGACAAACGACAACAATATACAACTATAATTCCACGTGGACGTATAAAAAAGAATGACCGCATGACCAACTGAGTTAAAGGAACAAAGAAAGGTCATCTTGTTTTTGGTTTAACAGATGCCAATACGGTCTATGGTTTAACCCACAGACGTAGTCGTTCGGACGGGACAAAAAAAAAAACAGAGTTGACAGTTGGAATTCGGAATAAGAGTAGGCTGTAGTGCTGCTGTCTGGGAAAAATTTCCCTCATAGCACACTGTATGGCATATAGTCGGTGTAAAAAAGTAGGACGTTGAACCCCATTTTATTTCATGTCACTGGGGCTGGATGGAGTGGTCTCCCCTTGTCATTGGGGCTGGATGGATGGCCTGGCTAGGAAGAAACATCTTGTCATTTGGATGGGATCAAAATCTGAAGTTAAACCTCATTTTATTTGCAACAGACCTCTATTCAAAGTTAAATTTTATCAATCGTTGGCAATGTCAATAAAAAAAAAACCTGATATAGAAGAAGTTATGATGATAAAAAGCAAGTTCCATCAATGGATTTATAGATTCTTTTTTTCAGTTGAGATAATGGAAACTAATACCCCCTTAAATTAGTATCTGCATGGTTAACAAATTATTTTCACTTGAAGAAATTGAAGAACTCTACTGAAGTAATGAAATCTAATAAATATGTGTTGTTATCTGGTGAATTATCCAAACATCAGTGAAAGAAAAGAAAGGGAAACCAAAAATAGATTCAAAAGAACTATTGGGCAATAAGTTTTATTCTTCTAGAACTATAAAAAGCACTAAAAAGAAATAAGGGCTATGAAGTCCACGTTTTGCTTGGAGTTCTTCATATAATTACAATTACCAAGGGTTCTTTTTTTAGTGTATGGGAACTTGTGCATGGGACCTCATCATTTTTGTTTGTTCTATCCAAATGACCAGATGCTGTTTCTTGCGGGATAACGAAGATGACCATACGCCATACAGTGTACTATGAGGGAAATTTTACCCCGACAGTGGCACTGCTGCCTGCTCTTATTTCGAGTTCCAACTGTCAAGGGTTCTTTACGTGCACGGCAATTTGTTTTTCATCCCATATGAACGACTGTACATTGTCCCTTCCCAGGACAGCTTTTTGAAAGGAAGGGGTGTGGCAGAGTCTTTTCAGGGATGGACTGAGAAGGAGACTGTGATTTTACATTGCCAGGCCCAATCCTTCACGTTTATAAAATTGTGCAGGAGCCATAAACAGCTTAAAAATTGAGAAAAAAGCTCCGTAAAAAACACTCTGCTTAATTATATTGCAAGAGTAATTCTGCATTTTCTTGAATTAAGGAGAGCCAAATTGTATTTGGTAAATATGTTTGGTGAATATGGTAGTGTCAGAATTATCATCAAGGGAAAACCGCACCGGAAAACTCAAGAACAACCAGAACAAAAAACGTATACATATATATATATAGAATTTTTACGCATGTTTGACTTCAAGCCAAAAATAATCTACTGGATTTACTGGAACCACATGTACATGAAACAGTTGTTTGTTACGTGTTAAATGAGTCTGTTCAACTAATTTAAAACCGTCCGAAGTCAACTTTACACGTTAATCTATTTTTATTACGTATGCATCTGAGACCAGTAGTCAATTCACCGTCTAATCTAATAAATGTTAAGGTTATTTCTGGCTTGAAGTCAAACATGCGTAAACCTTCTGTAATCATACGGTTTTCGTTCGGGTTTTTCTTGGGTTTGAATATAGATAATGACAACTTCACCTTCTTAATGAAGCTGAGTTGTCATGAAACTTTATAAAAGAAAATAGAGAGAGAGAAACCAGGTCATTTCAGGACTAACACAGGGTTCAATTTTATTTCAATAATTCTCTTGCCCATAGGCGCCTTTAGCAGTGGGAGGAAACCGGAAAACCTGTACAAAACCCACTGGGTTGGCCTGGCAACCCTGGAGAGAGAGAGAGAGAGACAGAGAGAGATGGGGTTTAAAGTCCACTGACACAAACCAGGTCATTTCAGGACTAACATGGGGTTCAATTTTATTTCAATAATTCGCTTGACTGTAGGCGCCTTTAACAGTGGGAGGAAACCAAAGGCACTGTACAAAACCCACAAGGTTGGACAGATACACAAGATTAAACGATAAAAAATGCTTGATACCCAGGTGTCATTTAATCTTTAATTTTGATAATGAGTGTCCAATTTACAAACGTTTAATTTCTCGATCCCAGTATTGGTCAATAAAATTCCCAGGGATTTAACACCATGTCAGTGGTGCAGACAGAAGGCAAGGAACATAGTCTAGTCATTTGAATGGGACAAAAAAATGTGAAGTGCATATAAAAGAACCTTTGACACTGTAGTGTACTTGCCAAGAAAACTTTTCTTTGTAGCACACTGCATGTACATGGCATATGCCTTTATTTATTAGCCCAGTTGGTGCAGAAAAGTAGGAAGTTAAACCTCATTTCATTGCTTCATGAACCATCACTGTAACTCGGGTATCATTTAATGTTGTGTAATTAGCACTAATTTCTTTCACATTCATTCAATATCAAATCTTTGTTTAAAACTTTGTAAAAATCATTTGAAATCACTCAGAATCATCTAATTTTGATAATGAGTGTCCAATTTAGAAACGTTTAATTTCTCGATCACTATTAAAAAATAAACAACCCAACTGATTATTGATGTACTAGCAGGATACCCGGCTTCGCTCGGGGGTCATAACTCCGAAACCGGAAGTGGTAGACTAACGCCACCTGGCCTATGTTACTCCCCGGTCCGAGCTACCCCTATACCCCAAATTTCAGACTCGGGGCAGACCTAGTGTAGCCGCCAACCCCGAACAGACCGGCTTCGCTCGGGGGTCATAACTCCAAAATCGGAAGTGGTAGACTAACACCACCTGGACTATGTTACTCCCCGGTCCGAGCTACCCCTATACCCCAAATTTCAGACTCGGGGCAGACCTTATGTAGCCGCCAACCCCGAACAGACAGACAGACAGATACCCGGCTTCGCTCCGGGGTCATAACTCTGAAACTGGAAGTGGTAGACTAACGCCACCTGACCTATGTTACTCTCCGGTCCGAGCTACCCCTATACCCAAATTTCAGACTCGGGGCAGACCTAGTGTAGCCGCCAACCCCGAACAGACCGGCCTCGCTCGGGGGTCATAACTCCAAAACCGGAAGTGGTAGACTAACGCCACCTGGCCTATGTTAATCCCGGTCCGAGCTACCCCTATACCCCAAATTCAAGACTTGGGGCAGACCTAGTGTAGCCGCCAACCCCGAACAGACCGGCTTCGCTCGGGGGTCATAACTCCGAAACCGAAAGTGGTAGACTAACGCCACCTGGCCTATGTTACTCCCCGGTCCCAGCTACCCCTATACCCCAAATTTCAGACTCGGGGCAGATGTAGCCGCCAACCCCGAACAGACAGACTTCGCTCGGGGGTCATAACTCCGAAACCGGAAGTGGTAGACTAACGCCACCTGGCCTATGTTACTCCACGGTCGGAGCTACCCCTATACCCCAAATTTCAGACTCGGGGCAGACCTAGTGTAGCCGCCAACCCCGAATAGACCGGCTTCGCTCGGGGGTCATAACTCCGAAACCGGAAGTGGTAGACTAACGCCACCTGGCCCATGTTACTCCCCGGTCCGAGCTACCCCTATACCCCAAATTTCAGACTTGGGGCAGACCTAGTGTAGCCGCCAACCCCGAACAGACAGGCAGAAAGACAAACGACAGTCACAAATATATATATAGATAAGGATTAATTTTTGAACAGTGGTCAGGAAATTGAATATTTGTAAATTGGACACTCATTATTAAAATTAAGCAGTCCGTTTTAAAAATTAATCATCATAAATCAGTAATCAATTGGGTTGTTTATTTTTTAACAGTGATCAGGAAATTAAATACTTGTGAATTGGATACTCATTATCAAAATTAATCAGTCAGCTTTAATGTTGACGCAAGTACAAATTAGATGATTTTGGGTGATTTTAAACGATTTTTACAAATTTTTAAAACAAAGATTTGATATTGAATGAATGTCAAAGAAATAAGAGCTAGATACACAAGATTAAATGTTGTGTTATTTTTTTATATAGGATCTGTGTTTTAATCAGATTGTTAATTTCAGACTCGGGGCAGACCTAGTGTAGCCGCCAACCCCGAACAGACCGGCCTCGCTCGGGGGTCATAACTCCAAAACCGGAAGTGGTAGACTAACGCCACCTGGCCTATGTTAATCCCGGTCCGAGCTACCCCTATACCCCAAATTCAAGACTTGGGGCAGACCTAGTGTAGCCGCCAACCCCGAACAGACCGGCTTCGCTCGGGGGTCATAACTCCGAAACCGAAAGTGGTAGACTAACGCCACCTGGCCTATGTTACTCCCCGGTCCCAGCTACCCCTATACCCCAAAT